AGCGGCCGGCTGCTGCTGCTGCTGCTGGTGAGGGTCAGGGAACGACGCCGACGACCTCGCGTACGGCTGGTAGAGGGCCGCCGCCGCCGCCGCAGCTGCCGCGGCCGCCGACCTTACCGCCGCCGCCGTCCCGACGCTACTGCTCGTGCCGCCGTTGATCGCGTCCATGTCGATGTCGCCCGACCTCCTTGCGCCGCCCCCGATGCCCCCGCTATCTTGACGGTGCTTCAGCTTGCTTCTGCTGCCGGATTGCGAAGAATAACCTCGCGCCCCCCCGCCCCCGCGGTGGCCCGCGGCCCCCTCCTCGTGCTGAAGCTCTCGCCTGAGATCGGCGCCCCCGCCCACCGCGTCTCCACGATCACCTCCCCCCCCGGCGTGATAATCCCAGCGGCCGTGCCGACCACCGCCGCCCCCACCGCTCGTCTGCGCGAGAGCAATCGCCGCCGCAGCGAGCTCCTCCGTCTCCTCTCCCTCCCCCTCCTCCTCCTCCACCTCCTCCTTGTCCGTCTCCGCAACAACGCCGCCGCCAGCCGCCGCAGCCACAGCACCACCACCACCAACCTTCCTGACCCCCCTCCGCCGCCCAGTACCCCCTCCCAATGGTGGCGGCGGCGATGGTGGCGGCGGGGACGGTGGTGGTGGGGGCCTGCCGCCGCCCACGCCCACGCCGGCGAGGAAGTCTTCAGGGTCGAGGGCGGGGGGCGGCGCCGAGGAGGCCTGCTGTAGCATCTGGATGAGCTTCTGCTGACCCATGCAGATCTGGGTGGAGGCCGCCAAGGAGGCCTTCATGCCCTGGTGCTCCTGCTCGCGGTAGGGTAAGTCATACGAAAAGAGACGACGATGAAACGAGGAAGTCGGTTCAGCAACGAACACGTGCCGTAAGGAACTCGTGCGTGTGGTGCGCGCTTGCTTGCTAACAGATACAAGGTTTTGGGCGCTGCGCGCCCCCGTTTTATTTGAAGCGATTCCAAGGCAATGTTTTCTCTGAAAGTGGGTGTAGGATGTTGTTAAAATGAAGGTAGGCACCGATGGCAGTTAAAGTTTCCGTGAAGGTGGAGTTCCCATGATGGAGGTTCGTGTGTGATTTAAGGAGATGTAAAGGTCCATTATTTGTTTCCCATCGCCGTGCCCAGTACCCCTCCATTATCCGATACACATCCAGAACTCAGAACTGCAAAAAATAGACAAAATTGTCGGCTGAACTGCGAATGAAGAAAGGATGCTCTGGCGGGGGATCGTCGAAGAGATGGCGGCGAGACATGGAGTCGAAGACTACAGAAGGAGTGCGAGGAGTGGGCCGGGGTAGCCATCGAGAGTGGAGGTAGAAAGGAGTGTATTTTCGTATTTTCCGGACCTTTAGAAGGGATTATCGGAACCGGAGCACACAACACCGTTGCCGGAATCGGAACAAACAACAGACCATTCCGACGCGAGAGCGGTGAAGAGAGAAAAGCAAAAAATTAAACGCAACGTGGATACACAGACACACACACACCGATAGGAGAGAGAGAGAGAATACGGTACCAAGGTGATAGGAGGTGAGTGCATACCGTGTGAAGGTGTTGGAAAAAAAAAAAATATATATATATATACAGCAGTAGCACACGGAATCGGAGCAAACAACAGACCATTCCGACGCAAGAGCGGTCAAGAGAGAAGGCGAAAATAAAAAGAGAATGTGGATAGACAGACCGTAAGAGACATAGAAGACGGAGGAGCGGAGGAGAAGGAGGCACACACAGAGAGGGCCGTACTTCCGTACTTCCAGTGGAATGCGTGGTATGATGGTACAGAGCGGGGTGACAGCAGCAGGCGAGAGAGATAAAAGCGGAAGATAAAAGTGGAAAGTCCATCAAAGTGTCAAATTTCCAAGAGGAAATGCTGCTCTGTGAGAGCCCGAGAAGACCGGAATAGAGCGCTCGCAGAAGCTGAAAGAAGCGAAATGAAGCGTTCTCAGAGAAAACTTGAATTGTAAGAAGACTAAATATACACGTCATGTATGCATAGGAAATGCAACGAACTCGTGCGCTTGGTGTGCGCTTCTAACAGACAGTTCTACACGCCGCCAAGAGCGAGATGCAGCTGTAAACAAAGGTGCACGGCTGACTTTTGGAGAGACGGGCGGACCCTTAAACTCGTCCATGCAAACAAGAAGAAACTGCCACTGGTTGCAGGCTCACAAAACGTATTCGAGAAGGGCCTTCACGATGGTGGTCCAACTTAATAGGGAGAACGACACAACACACTTTTTAATAGGAAGACAGAGAGAAAGGAGGACCCGCAATCCACCACACACAGGAAAAATCGTACCACACAAAATCAGAAAGGCTGGCGGCTAAGACAAGCCCGCAAACTCCCCCCCCCCCCCCACCAAAAACCCACATGGTGAGCAGCGGCGTACAGCGCCTTGTACGAACGCGCCCGGTCCAGCTCGGCCGTGAGCTTGGCGTTCTCCTGCCTGGACAACTCCAGCAGCTCGAGGGCATCATCCCGCTGAGCGGTCACCTCCGCCAAGGCCTTCTCTGCCAAGGACAGCCTCGTCGAGGAGGACAGCGGAGCCTTCGGTGTTCTGCTGAACGGAGCCCTCTCCTCCTCTTCGCCTGTTGGCCATGGGTCGTGGGGAATAATGTACGATACTGAGAAGGATTATGGGAGATGGGGGGGGGGGGGGGGGGCAACCCCCCTTTTTTGAAGCCTTTCCGGTTAAACCATTTACCACCCCCCCCCCAAAAAGGGAAAAATTTGGAGGGGGGGGGGGGGGGGGTTTTCAAAACTTTGTTTTTTTTCCCACCCCCGGGGGGGAAGGGGGTTAGCCAAAAAATTTTTGAAAAAAAAAAAAAAAAAAACACTCTTAAAAAACCCCAAAAAAAGGGAAAAACCCCCCCCTTTTTTTTAAAAAAGCGGAAGGGCCAAAACCCCCTAAAAAATAAAAAAATTAGGGTTCCAAAAAAAAAATTTTTTGGAAAAAAAAAACCCCCCCCCCCCCAACCCCTTTTTCCCCAAAAAAAAATAATGGAAAAAAATGGGCCCCCGGGCAAAAAAAAAGAAAAAAAATCCTTTCGTCCTTTTGGGCCCCCCAAACTTTTTAATAAAAAAAAACAAAAAAAATTTCCCCAAAAAAATCCCCTCCCCCCCCCCCCCCCCCCCCAAAAACCCCCTAAATCCCCCCCCCGGCCCCGCCCCCCGAAAAAAAACCAAAATTGTTTTTTTTTT